CATCATCATCATCATCATCATCATCATCATCATCATCATCATCATCATCATCATCATCATCATCATCATCATCATCATCGTCATCATCATCATCATCATCATCATCATCAGCAGCAGCAGCAGCAGCAGCAGCAACTGTTGTCAGGAATATCTCACTTGTTTATCAGGGCGTCAGTAAAGGGGGTGATCTTGTGATATCCCAGCCTGAATTCACTTCAGAGAGGAGAAAGAGAGTCAAGGAACAACCGCAGGAACTCGATGTTTCCATCTTGAAATACTGACTCTTTCGTTTGCATCATCTGGTACTCGTCCTTGACCAGGAAAGGAACCACGTTGGGAAGGTCGGCGAACAGTTGCTTCATAGCCTCTGATGAGGTGGCGAGGTGAGGAGGAGGAGGAGGAGGAGGAGGAGGAGGAGGATTACCGGTGTAGTTGATGCTGACAGCGAAGAGCACAAGAGCAAAACTCTGAGCATAGAACCGAATGATGCTGGAGCAAATGAGATGGTCGCCGAGTCCGAGATGGTGATATCTTGCAGACAAAGTGAGAAACATGAAGAGGAGGAGGGGGAGGAGGGCAGACATGAAGATGGTCTTGTGCTTGATCAGAGGAGCAGTCCAGAAGAAGGAGTTCTCCCCCTCCCAGCTCTCCTCCTCCTGCCGTAGGAACACTCTGAGCTCGTGCACGACCTCCGACGCCTCGTGCTGCGGGAACGATTCGGGGAGCCGGGGAACCAAGTCGAACTCGAGCACGGTTCCGGAGGAGCTGTGCTGTGAGCTGTTGGCGAAGACCTGGAAGAGCTTGACCATGTAGCTCTGCAATACCACGTACTGCTTGTTGTCCTGGTCATACTCGGGTATCGTCGACCCATGAAAGATTTGCAGGACGGGAAACTCGTCGAAACCGTCCCACTCCTCCCGCGGGACCTCTCTGAACTCGCATCCCCGCCGGCAGAAGTCTCCACAGATGACGATCTGAGCGCTGACGGAAGATGACTTGTTGGCCATCTCCACCCGATGTCCATCTGGATGCCTGACAGCGATGCGAGCAAGGGCGCCACCCTCCTCATGCTGCTGGCTGCAGGTGACGTTCTGATGTGCCCGGTGCGCGAGAACGGAGGGATCAAGCAGCACAAGCAGAAGGTAAGCCGCGAGCCGCCATGACATTGCCATCCCCATCACATCGTGACAGTCATGCTGAACTCTGATCCATCCCCCGACATGGTCTGCCCGCCCAGGATTGGAGAAGGGACAGGATGTGTGGAGGAGGGGGGAGGAGGAGAGTAGGAGGAGGAGGAGGAGGAGGAGGAGGAGGAGGAGGAGGAGGAGGAGGAGGAGGAGGAGGAGCGGGGAGGGGGAGTCCTGATGTAGGAGAGAGCGAGCTAGATAGCGAGAGTGTCAGGAATGAAGGGGACGTGGGGAGGATCGTGACATCAGCCCGAAACGCGCGAATAGAAAAAAAGTAGGACAGGGGCAGAGAATCGGATGCGTCCGTCGGGGAGCGGCAGGAGACTGGAGGCAGACGAGAGGAGAGGAGATGGAGGAGATGAGTGGAGTGAAGGTAGGGAAGAAGGTGGAAGAGTGAGTCGAGGCAGGGAGGAAGGGAGGGGAGGGGAGGGAAGGGAGTAGGGAAGGGAGTAGGGTAGGAGGAAAGGAGGGAGGGAAGAAGGGAAGGATTGAGCGGAGGGGGGCGAGGAGGAGGAAAAGCAACAAGAAGGAGGAAGGAGGGATCCTACCGTATTTCTGAGCGTCGCAGCATGGTAAAAACATCCGTATCATCTTGTCGTTCTTTATCGCCTCTGCAGGAGGTGTAGGGAACATCGAACGAGAGCAAGACGATGGGAGCATGTGGACTAAGAAAGCTACCTCTCCGCATCCTCTGCATCCTCTTCCTCCTCGCTGATCTCTCGGGTGAGCTCTACCTGTCCGTGCACCTCCTTGACGAGAAGCCCCGACCTTCGCTCGTCAGGTGTTGTGGACGCGTACCCCTGTGGTACTCTCAACCTGGAGCACCCGTCCGCAAAGCACTGCTTCCCTCCGGGAGTGCAGAGGCACCATGTTTGCTGCGTCGACATCAGGCTGTCCAACAACAGCACAGGCAACAACTCCTCCTGCAAGGCCTGCGGCTGACGGTAGGGCTTGCAGCCTCCCTCCACCTCAACCTGCTGGAGAAGCGGATCAAGGAGGCGTCCAGCCCTCAGAGCTACTCCTGGTGAGCTGCGATGGGTCAGTGAGGTCGGCGACGCCTGACGTGTGTGGGAAAGGTGCACCTGCTCTGTTGACATCTGCGAGGGACAACTGGGTGGGAAGGTGCTGTGGATGCTGCAGGTGTTGCCGCCTGCTCGCATGCGGACCTGAACTTGAAGGATGACAGCCTGATGGTGCAATGCACATGAACAATGGAGAACTGTTCAAGATGGATGAAGACAAGCTGCCAGGTAGTCGGAAGAGGAGTGGGGACGATAGCAGAGCAGAAATTTGATATGTTGGATTCAGGGAAAGAGAGCAACGTGTTGTTCCCTGGATTTCTGATGAGCAACCGGAGTGTGGATGAATTGATCAGGGCCAAGCATGGAGAGATAAAGCAGTTGAAGTTTCAGATCAAGAAGATGAAAGAGCCCAAGAAGATAGAGAAGAAGAAGAGAAAGGACAATGCCAAGATGAAGGACATGTCTGAATCCGATATAGACGAGCAGCAAGAGATTGAGGTGATGTCTCCAGTGTTCTTTCCCTTTCTACTCCACCATCAAGAGAGTCAATAACATCATCATAATCATCATCATCATCTTCTTCTTCTTCTTCTTCTTCTTCTCCGTCATCTGCATCATCATCATCATCATCTTCTTCTCCTTCTTCTTCTTCTTCTCCATCATCATCATCATCATCATCATCATCATCATCATCATCATCATCGTCATCATCATCATCATCTCCACCATCATCATTATCATCATTATCATCATCATCATCATCATCACATTAAAGTTGATACTCTCCTCAGAGTGAAGAGAAGATCGATCTTGGGGTAAAGCTCGCACCCCTCGGGAGGACTGACCTGGAAGAGCTCGTACGATGTCTCCCTCTCATCCTCTTTCTGCTGAACTTGATTCCTTCACAGGTTGTGCAGCTGGTGTACAAGTACGACGGGAAAACAGGTGACCAAGAAACTTTTGCTTTTGCAACTCAACTCACTGGATCATCAGACATCGGAGACGAGGTTTTAGAATTTGCACGCAGGTGCTTGCTTACACCGTTGTGACATGTCCGCATGCTCTGTACTGATCGAGATCATCCGAACAGGCCCTTCGAAGTCGAAACTCTGCAGCAAGAGGTACAACGGAACGACCGTCCCCTGCTCTCCTCCCCCACCTCGTCAAGCTCGAACGTCTCCCCTCCCCTCCTGCCCATCTCCTCCACCTCTGAACCATCTCAGCGAGTCTTGTCGTCTGATTGTCTCTTCTTGTACGCTTCAACTCACTGCTCTCACCATCAGATCCAAGGTCTTACCATGGCGAAATGTTTGCCGAGAGTGTACAAGCAAGAGATGTCCAAGTTTGCAGATAAAGTCAGTCTGCAGAGCAACTCGACGTTTCTCACTCTTCCTCGAAGGCTCTCAAGTACGCGGAGGCTGGAGACAAGACCAATGCACTCAAGATCGCCGATGTCCTCACCAAGTCAACCGCGGTCTTGGCAGCATGCGCGCGTTGTTGAGTATCTGACTTAGAGCAGTCGCTGTACCCTGATGAGCCCGGAGAGCACATTCCCTCGCTGGTGAGAGCCGAGTACTTGCAACGATGATGATGATGATCATGATGATGGACATGATGATGATAAGCTGATTATGAGTTTTCGATGATATGAGGACGGTGACGGTGTTGGGCAGTGGGTGCTGATTGAGAGAGTGTGGGAGGAGGTGGTTCTACTTACAGAGAGCTCAACGGAGAGGAAGAAGGTGAGCAAGTGAGAGCGAGGGAGAGATTGAGGTGCTTGCAGATCGAGAGCTTCTTGCAGCAGCAGCAGCAGCAGCTCTCAGCTTCATACGGTCTTATTCTTGCTTCTCTTCTCAGAGACTGACAGGGTCCCAGGCCCTCTGTTCAGTGACGCCTTGCGACGTCTGCAACGTCTGGAACGAAGCTCGGAAAAAGACGTTATGAGCGATCACAACTCGTTCTTCAAGAGATCCAAGATAGGCAAGTCACAGTCCAAGGCAAACAAGTCCAAGAAGAAGAAATCCTAGTGACTTCAACGTGATTTGATGCAGAAGTAGAACCAAAACCACTTCGCCTTCTCTTCTTATCCTTCCTTTACTCTCATACAACGACGGTCGCTCTAGTTCTATCATCTCATCGCAGAACAGCAGTCCTGTACGCAACCCCCGGCCTCGCTGTGCTCCCATCACTGTACTGGTTGATCGTTGCTCCTGCTCATCGTCCACAAGTCCTCGTTGCTCCTGCTCATCGTCCACAAGTCCTCGTTGCTCCTGCTCATCGTCCACAAGTCCTCGTTGCTCCTGCTCATCGTCCACAAGTCCTCGTTGCCCCTGTTCATCGCCCTTCCCTCTCCCCCCCGCCCCCCGCTGCCTCCTCCGACCGACCACGTAAAAATCTTTTCCCTCCCCGGTAGTTTGTGACTACCAGCAGGTGGAGGGTCAAGGGCAATAGGAATAGTCGCAGGACAAGGCCGAGGGAGGGCAAGGGAGGAGGGGGAGGCAGTGAAGGCGCGGGGAAGGGGAAGAGGAGAGTTGGTGAGGAGACCGAAGGGAGAAGGGAGGAGGAGATGGGGAGGAGGAGGGCAAGAGAGGAGGTTTGTTGAAGTGTAGGATGCGAGCAGGACTAGGTCCCTCGAGACTGATTCTTTGCTCCAGATATGTCCGAAGCTCTTCGCTCCCGCGCGAGCTCTGCTTCCCATCGTGTTGCTGATGGAGGGTCGGAGGACGGGGCAGGGGTGTGGAACGGAGAGGAACCGCAGGAGGGCGAAAAGAAGATACAAGATGGGTTCGACGTGAAGCGATTCCGAAATGGAAAATACTCCGGAGAATTCAAAGATGGAAAGATGCACGGGCTTGGAAGGTCAGTGAATGTCTTCTTGCTGAGACTGAGGAGTATGAGAATGAGGAGGAAAGAAGTTGTTGGTCTTTGAGATAACGAAGATGATAGTGATAGTGATGCTTCTGAGGATGGAGATGGAGATGGAGATAAGGAAATGAGATTGTTTTCAGATTTATCTTCAACAATGGAGATGTGTACGACGGGTACTGGGAGTGCAATGTCATGCAAGGAAGGTCAGCCTCCTGATTGTCTCAGTTTCTCTCGTGAACTCGATGAAAGAGGAAAGTACAAGTACGCTGATGGGGGTGTGCTGGAAACAACGTTTGTCTTCGGTTGTCATCCATTCTAACTGAGAATGTCCTGACGCTGAAGCAGGAAGACGACATGGAGATGGAGTCTACTATTCAAGAACAGGAGATTCTTACCTCGTGAAGTATCAGAATGGTTGTCATGAAAGATTGCAAGTGATGTTGAGCATCTGAATGTCGTGGTAGATGAAGAAGAGAATCCAATCCAAATCCCCGACGATACAACACAAGAACCCAAGACAATGGCGTCAGCGACACAAGTCATTTTCATCTTCTTTGTGTGGATCGGCTCTAACAATCGTCAAGGATGCTATCGCCCATCTCCCACATCAACAAGCGGACAAACAGACAAGTCAAAGAGAACGCAGTAGATCGTCTACAAATGTGTTGAAATTTCTCCTTCTCGTCTGCAAACTAAAAGATGTTCAGGTCTCCTTTGCCCCAACTCTCAGTCGAGCACAAGAAAATTCATCTCTGAGCGGACAAGAGAAGGTGAGCGTTGCTCATGCATATGAAACCGATGTCTTTATGTGCTTTTATAGGAGCCAATACAGCCAACACACAAGTATCAACTACAACAACAACAAGTGCAGGACCATCAACAAGAAGAAGCACCACAAATACAACAAATACAAAATCTACAACAAAATCTACAACAAAATCTACCACAAGAACAAATGCAAGAACAAGAAGACGAAGAACCAAAACCACACCTCAGAGAAGAATATGGACATGATGAAGAAGCGGGGCACAAAGCGAAATTGTTAATTTGCGATTTTGACTACCTGCCTTCGACTCCTCCGAGCACAGCTTTCTTCTGCATATTCAGTATCCCCCAACTGGCAGGCAAGAAACGTTGAGGAGAGAGCAGGGGTGAAGGTTTGGTGCAGACATGTACGCTGATGCTGATCGTCAAGCGAGCATTGAAGACAAACTCGTAAGAGGTGACGTCACCAGCGGGAGCACCGGAGGGTCTGACAGACATGCAGAGCTGTCGCACGTGATGGGCTGCAACTTCGAGGAGCTGAGAATCCTCGAAATGGGTAACACCTGACGTGACTCCTGGCCTCGCTGACGAGTTGACGTCCAGCTGACGTCCAATACGACGAATACTTGAGGAATCCTGGAAACCCTTTCCCAGCTGACGTTGAGCTGTCTCCCAAAGGTGAGAAGAGATTGTATCTCACGTGGAGGGAATGTTTGACTCGATGGCTCAGATTCCGTCGTTCACCTGGAGATCAGGTTGGTTGCGATGAGCGTGAAGATGCTTTCTTGTACAGCCCTTGACATTGTTTTGCCAGCATTGTCCGACTTTTCTGCTCGAACCAGCAGATCAAGTCGATGCAAGAATCTCACCTCCGGAAGCTGATTCACTTCCTCGACAACAAGAGAAGTTTCTCGTTGGACACCAGCACCCGATACCTTCGACACCTCAAGTTTGTCGCCGTGGAGCAACAGGTGGTGCAGGCCAAGGAGGAGGGTGAGGCCAAGGAGATCAGATCGCTGCAGCTGCAGCAGCAAGCTCACATGAAGCTCCTCTGGTCTCAGGCCTCCTTGAGAACTCACGGCCGACCCTCCGTGAAACATCCGTCGTCTCGTCTCGCTCAAGAGGCGGTGCAGCCACAGAACGCGGAGGAGATGAAGTGGGTGGTGGCGAAGCGTGCGGGGCTGAGCTTCTACCTCAAGACTCTCTTGGTCAGCAAGTACGACCGTTGCATCCTGCTGGAAAACCTGCGAGCTGACGAGCGAGAGGTGGAGGTCCAAGTCCCGAAGAGCGCTATCCTCTCTCAGAGAGTGATCTGCCTGAGATCGGAGCAAGCAGGGCTGCAGAGAAAGTCCATCCCCTTCACGAGCCTCAAGGAACTGAAAGAGGATGAAGAGAAGCTGACCAAGCTGACGATCAGGCTGGCGGGATGGAAGAAAGACAAGGAGATCTACTTCGAGAATACTTCCAGCAAGAAAGAGTTTGTGGATGCCGTGATGACCTCATGGAAACCTGAGAGGAACGACCTGGACAGCATGATCCTGACAGACTCTGATCCCAACGGATCTTTCATCACTGCCGTCTCCTTCCACCCTCCCACCCAGACCTCCATGCAGCACATCATGGCGCACGTTCAGAAGACGGGGAAACCACCTTGGGAGTTCGACGGGTGAGCTGAGAATCGAGCTGGAGGGGTTGTGACGGGGCGAGCTTAACAGGAAAGGGCATCCGAAACCATTCGACAAGAAGATGTTTGTAGGAGCTGTTCCCATCAAGATGAGGTCTGCAGAAACCAGAAGCAACTCGGCAATCCCAGAGAACGCGAGGAGTCCTTCCCTGGGTAACTATCAACTGACGTACATGAAGAACGAGCCCAAGCTGCTCAAGAGCTTCTACGGGGTGACGGAGCAAGACCTGGTGGAGGATGACGATGTGACCGTCCACGACGGGACCATGTCGATCGCTCGATCTGCCACCATCGCGAGCTCGAGGAAGCACGACGCTTCAAGAACCATCCTTCCTCACTCACCAACGTGACTGCAGCTGCTCTTGTTCTGCTGCCTGCTGCTGTGACGCGTGCATGCTCAGGTTGGCCTCCCGTGAGCTTGAGCAGGGCGGCGACGCCTCCTTGAACAAGAGCTACTCTTTCGCCCCATGGGAGCACATCGTGGCTTATCGGATGATGAAGAAGATCGAAGCAGACCGGCAGCTCAAGACGGACGAGGTCAACAAGGCTGTGGAAGGAAAGTTTGCAGAGAGGCTGTTGCTGCAGTCGGTGAACAAGAAGCTGGCTGACGAAAGGGTGAGGACGACTCTCAAGGGAGAGGGAGAGCAGGCGGGGGGTAGCTCATACTTCACTACAGGAGAAGAAGGAGAAGAGATCTAGGTTCTACCACCAGAAGGTGATCAAACACGGGGTTATCCCGACCAAGGCTGTTCTGGCCGAAATCGCTCAAGAGATGAAGTACTACGACGAGAAGGAGCGATACGACAGGCTGATGGTCATCCAGGGGTACGAGTCAGACGTGCAGGTGACAACCAGCGCTCCTTCTCGACCTCGGGCCCTCACGAGCTTGTAGATTGCCTTCCCCGTTGGTATGCCCCTGTCCTTCGACGAGGTCAAGGGTGAGACCTCAATCGTAGCTGAGCAGCTGCTGGGATCGACAGGCTCACTTGCGGTCCTTGGCAGATTTCGTCGCTATGAACAAGACTGCTAAGATCAAGAACTACTTCTCGCTCGCTGGGGCTCAAGAGGAGGAGCATCACGTCCCCGTCAAGCAGGCAACTGCCAGGACAGCCTCGATGCAAGACAAGCAGCACGTGCTGGAGCTGCTGGAAGATGGAAACAAAGTCCTCCTGGTGATCTCCTGGTGATCGTTGTAGCGGCTGACTGGTTCCTGTCAGATGTTCAACGCCGAGCGCGAGTTTTTCACTGGCCGTCTTGTCAAATTTTGGTATCTTGACATGATAGGTAAGAGAGTGGGGACAGGAGGCAAGTTCGACCAAGCACACGTAAGAGCTCAAACTTTTGTTCGGCGATTTGAACTTGGCGCAGAGGTGGAAGTTCATTTACAACGAGGAAGTCATTTACATGCAGCAGAAGGGTCCAGGAATGACCATCCAGGTACCTGCCGTTGATGCTGCATTGTACAATCTGGTTGCATCGTATCCAAACTTCCATCTACCCTGGAACTCTCCTACACTCTGCTCTCATCCCTGCTCTCCTCTCACCCTGAACCTCTCTGCCCCCTTCTTCTCTGTCCTCTTCTTCCTGCTCCCCCATCTCCCACTCTCCTCTCTTTGAACTTGAAGATGCAGTTCCACGGACTCTCCTCCCGTCTCAGCTTTCACGTGGAGCAAACTCTGTCAAGCATGTACTTCATGCAGGACGGCAAGCACGTGGCGTCAGCATCGCACGAAGGTCCTAAATGGGTCATCTCAAGGGTAGAAGAGCTTGAGGTGTCTGCTGTGTTCTTCCACGCTGCCGCTGTTGTTGCTCTTGATTTCGCAAGCTCGAAGAAAAAGATGATTCCGTTCCTGTAGATCGAGCTCTCCCTTGCTCCCCTCCCCCCCTCCTCCCTTTCCTACCCTCTCTCTCTCTCGCTGTTGTACAATAAACTCTACTAGTAAACGAACAATCGGATGCGAGCTGGAGCAAGGAGGAAAGGTCACACATGGCGTGTATAGAACCCCCAGTTGATGGTGAAACTTCTTCCCGCTGTGCTCACACGATGAATCCATCCCGCAGGAAGGTACAGGATATCTCCTGGTTCTAACAGCACACGCCTCGCTTCCTCCGTAGCAATCTGCGCTGGATCGATCCAACCTGACATGCCCCCTGAGAGATCAGGGCGAGGAGGGAGCAGGTCGAACTGCTTGAGAGAATTCTTCTCGTCCCCTCCAAACACGTTGAGAACCACTTGATCGAACCCGTCCGAGTGCCACTCAGCTACGTTCCGGTGGGGCGCCTGCATCAATGACATGTAGCAACGAGTCTTGAAGTAATCCTCCTCTCGCATGCAGGGTAAGGGGCAATGGCTCATGGCCCCGTCTTGGCAGAAGTCAACAAGATGGTCGCCTCTTCCGTTGCTGCGGTCCGTAGAGCTAGTCTCAAGGTACCCAAACTCCCCCTGTCCACATCGCTGGCTGAAGTCACTGAACCCCATCCGCAGAACAGACGTGTCAGACGTGAAGACACGAAACTGGGGCCGGCAGGATGGGCTGAGCTGCTTCTCCTTCTCCTCGAGGGATCGTATGTACTCTGAGACCTTGTCCCCTGTCATGCTGCGATCAGGACAGATTCTTCTCAAGTGAATGGGTTGGTCCCCATGGAGAGAAATTTCTTGCTCAGCCATTTCCATGGACAATCCCTTGAGGACCTTAATCCTGGGAGTGGTATCTTCTCCCTTTCGTCCATCGTCTCGTACGTGATCAAGTTTCCTCTGCTTCTTACAGGATGTGGGAACATTCTCGGATGAATCTTCCCTTGTCCCCTGACATTTTCGGCTTTCCTGTGCGGTTTCCATATTTTCTCCTGTTACTTGTCCCACGTGAAAGTTATGCTCATGATCTTTCCAACTCGTTCCTCAGATCACAAGTACACCGAGAGTCACGGAGTTGTTCATCAACTGCTTTCCAACGATGGACAGGACGGGAACATCACTTCATCCAAGTAGATTCGCCGCAAGATTCCATCTCCTCTCTACCTCCTCGTCCCTCCCTCCTCCCGCTCGTCGTTGAATTCCAACATGGAAAGGACTCCCCGACGATTTTAAAACATAGTACAGGTCCAAAATTACTCAAATATTAGGAACACCGTACAATATGTGAACAGTGGGGGTAATTTTGAAATCTTATAAACATATTAAAGTTTTACTGGTACAAAGTAGTTAAATTTCAAATTATATACAACTACTTGTTAAAAAGGGCGGGAGAGCTTCCGGCCATTCGACCACCCCACCTCATTCCCGTAAATTGGACGGACCCCAGGAATTTACCATCAAGACAGCACATGGTCCAAAAGTACCGGTCCTTTTAAATTGATTTCAAGGAATTCAAGGGGGGTGAGGGTCAGTACCCCACTGCCAGAAAGCCACATTCCTCTATACCTCGAGCTTACATCCCCGAAAACAAGTACCCCCCTATTTCCCTGGTAAAAGTACCCCTGTGTAAAAACTTATCCACCCTACCCCCTCAAAACTCCACGGACAATCACAGACCAATGCTGACATGGACCCCTTCGCCCAAATTACAGTACCCTACCCGGCTATCTTACCATGGAAACACCGAATGTACCCCTATCCCTTACCATCACTACCGGTCATTACAGTACCCACCGACACTCTGACTACCCCCGCCCGAATCGTCGCACCCCACCTCTCCTGCTCTGGATCGTTCTATCGGCGCCCTCTATGCACAAGTAGCCCCTATCCTCCGTTCCTTCCATCCGCCTCCTCCGCTGACTCTTGCCCTTCCTTCTCCCTGTCTCTCCCCCTGCCTCCCTCTTCCTGCCTCGTCCTCCTACTCCTTCTCGTCCACCTGATCCCTCCCATCTCTCACCCTTGTCTCTCCCTTCTCTGAATGTGTGTCAACTCCTCTCCTCGGAACTCCCTTCTCTCCCTCCCTCCTCTCTCTCTCCCCCTCCTCCCCCAGCTCTCCCTCTACATCGATACCTCAATGCCTCTTCAGATCTCCCTTTCTCGTGTAATTCCTCGTCCTCCTCCCCACCCGCCCGGCTCCGCCTATCGCTCCTCCTATCTTGTTTTCTCGCTTCCAATATCTTCCTCTCAGCACGAGTTGTATTCCAAGTGATGCCCGTGTCTTGCATTGCATATGGATCTCAGCCATCATCGTGATGAACGCTCTCCCATTTCGACGCTGGTGGTCAGGAGAATGAAGCTGATTGGTTTCTTCACAGTTGAACCATTAACATTCTCAAGTTCGGGAGAGGGCTCGTAAACAGGAGGCGCTGTCATACTGTGATCATCCGGTTTTTTTCGGGGTGAGCCCTTTCCTGCTACTGCACGTGCGGCTCCTCACTCACGTCACGCCAGCAAGGCGATGCAGTACGACTACGACTTGCTCGTCATCGGTGGAGGATCGGGTAGGGGAACCGGCCGGTCATGTTAAGAACGACTCACCTCCTGTGGCAGGAGGTCTAGCCGCTTCCAAAGAAGCTGCTGCTCTCGGTGCCAAGGTCGCGGTTTGCGATTATGTCACACCGAGTCCCAAGGGTACAGATCTAGCTGCTCCCCTCTTGTTGCCTTGGCCTTCGTGACTTCGCCCTCCCCCTTTCGCCGTCCCCTGTGAAGTTTCGCTGTGGTTGACTCATGTGCAGGAACAACTTGGGGGCTTGGAGGAACATGCGTGAATGTAGGATGCATTCCGAAGAAGTTGATGCATCAGGCTTGCCTACTGGGTCTAGCGGTTGAAGACGCGAAATCGTTCGGTTGGAAGCTGCCGGACGAGAAGACTCACGACTGGGAGACGATGGTGAACAATGTGCAAGACTACATCAGCGGCCTGAACTTCCGCTACCGAACGGAGTTGCGCACGAAGAAAGTTGACTACCTGAATGCCTTGGCGGTTTTTGTCGACGAGCACACCGTTGAGCTGACAGACAGGAAGGGAAACGTCTCGAGGAAAACAGCTGAAAACTTCATTGTGGCTACAGGCGGAAGGCCCAAGTACCTTGGCATCCCAAATGAGATGGAGCTCTGCATAACATCCGACGACCTGTTCTCCCTGTCTTCGCCACCAGGGAAGACTCTGGTTGTGGGAGCTTCCTATGTTGCCTTGGAATGTGCCGGTTTCTTGAGAGGCCTCAACTACGACACCACCGTAATGATGCGCTCGATTCCTCTTCGTGGGTTCGATCAGCAGTGTGCCGAGATGATCTGCTCCTACATGGAGGAGGAAGGGACCAAGTTCATCCGTGGGTGCATTCCAGCCAAGATAGAAAAAGCCGAATCTGGGAAGATCAAGGTTTTCTGGAAGCCAACCAACGGCGGTGATACCATGGAATCTGACGAGTACGACACCGTCATGCTTGCGATCGGGAGGTATGCGCTCACCGAGCAGTGCGGAGTGCAGAACGCAGGAATCAAGACGGACCCGTCATCCAAGAAGATCATCGGGACAGGCACGGGCGTCGGTTTGACCGAGCAGAGCAACGTTGACCATATCTATGCTATCGGCGACGTTCTTCATGGATACCCTGAGCTCACACCCGTGGCAATCCAAGCTGGTATCCTTCTTGCACGCAGAATTTTCGGAGCGAGCAGCAAGGCGATGGACTACGAGAAGGTTCCGACAGCCGTCTTCACCCCTGTCGAGTACGGATGCGTCGGTCTGAGCGAGGAGGACGCGATCGCCCGACATGGTGAGGAGAACATCGAAGTTTATCATCAGAGCTTCAAGGTCAAATCTCAATGTCTCGCTCCCCTGCCCTGAGATTCTCTCGCAGCCGCTTGAGCTGACTGTCCCGGGACGAGGAGACAACGCAGGATACCTCAAGGTCACTGCTCCTTTCCCTCTCAATGGGGAGCTGCTGATGCGCCTGTGTTGGTCAGGTGATTGTGGATAAGAAGGACAACGAGAGGGTCCTGGGGATGCACTACCTCGGGTGGGGTGCAGGAGAGATCATGCAAGGATTCGCCATCGCTCTGAAGCTAAGAGCCACCAAGGTGACGCTGTTGCCCAGCACTTGCCCCAGCTGAGTCGGACATGCAGGAGGACCTGGATGAACTCGTTGGCATCCATCCGACAAGGTCAGTCAGCACTCGTGGGCTGGGCCGAGCCTAGCTGACTCTCTGGCAGTGCGGAGCTGTTCACGACACTCAAAGTGACTAAGAGCTCCGGTCTTGACTTTCGTCAGGTTCAGTTTGTGACAGTCGCGATGGTTTCGCCTTGACCCCTGACGCAGGCCGGTTGCTGAGGTTAAGCTGCTGCCAGACTCGATCTCTTAGGAGACGCTGCTGGAGATAAGCAAGGCGTCTCCTGGGAGAGGTTTGGCAGCAGGACGAGGAGGCAGAGGCCCACCTGCTGTGCGCGATTCTTGTCGCATTCCGGCGGGTTTGATCACCTCCCCGAAGCCCAAGGGTTTGCATGCAGAGCAGCATGCAGCTATGAAGGACAAGCTTCAAACGCTACGCGCAAGCTTGACCCGAGACATGCCCATCACTTTGACTACGTTTTTATAATGTAACGGTTCATTGCCCACACCCCCAGCCCCTAGAAGATGAACTTGTCTCCGTTAGCACCCTCCCATTCTTCACTGTCGTCGTACGCTCGGGCCGTGAAACCGGTCTGCCTCTCGAGATAGCTTGAGAGGAGCGACGGTCGCGATGAGGCGGGTGGTGGGCCATGCCCGTTCACCCCCGCACCGTTGACCCTCAAACCATTCATGCCGTACCCGCCGGTCCCGCTGCCAATCAAGCCAACGCGTTGCGTGCCCACGTCATTGTCGCCAAGTCCTTTCAACCGCTTGAGCTCACTCAACGCTGCGTCTCTTTCTGCCGTCACACGCTTGAGCTTGTCCACCAGTGAGAGCTTTTCATCGTCGTCCCCGTACCACTCAGGGTTTCCCTGTATCAGCGCAAGCTTCATTGCTAAACTGACCGGTGACTCTCCGTCGCGCGACCATTTTTGCGCCTCTGCGAGTTTACGGGCAGAGTAGAGTTCAAACTCCTCTTGGAAGATTTCCACGAATTGTTCTCTCGTGATTCTCCTGTCCTGTCCGAGCTCCACATTCCGAGTGATGTACTGGAAGTCATCGAAGCCCAACAAGATCATCGGGTCTGTGTGAAATGCTTTGAGGCCAGTCTGCAGCTCTGAGAAGGACAAGGAGTTCGAGCCAAGGAGGTCAAGCCTGTCAAATACTGAGTCAACCATCTGCTCAAAGTGATCTGCATTGTCAAAGACAATCAGCTTGCTGAGAATTGGATCGAGCACACGGATAGATTTGTCTATTCCCTGCCGATTGTTTTCAGCTTGCTTCTTTCTTATACCCTGCTCTTCCTCGTTCACGCATCGAATGAAGTTGTCGAGCATCACGGCAACGACTACGTTGAGCAGAATCATGGAAGAGATGATCATGTAAACCACAAAGAATATCATTACAGTCTTGTCAGATGAAGAAAAGAGAGGCCTGGCAACTGAAGATGCCCACGCATCTCCAGTAGCACACTGGTACATGGTAAAGATGGCGAGTTCAAAATTCCCAAAAAGATCAGGTCTCCTTGTACCGTAGAGATCCACTGAGATGATCGCGAACATGGAGGTGACGATGACAAGAATCAACACTGAGTTGAGAACTGGCAGCAAACTGCCAAGAATCGCATTGAAGATGACGCGAAGATGTCTCATCCTTTTGAAAAGCTGAGCTGCCCTGAAAACTCTCAGCATTCGCAGGGTGGTGAAGGCAGGCACTTTAGGTAGTGCCAGAGACAGCAGAGAAACGATCACGATTACAGTGTCAAAAATGTTCCACCCATTGAGCCAAAATTTCATCCCATACTTCCCTTTCCAATTGACAAAAATGTTGAGTGCAAGCTGATAACAAAGTCAGCGAGGGGAGCCAGGAGAAAGAGCAACGAATCACGGGCACGTACCTCGAAGGTGAAGATAGCTGTGAAGATGATGTCGGTCACATTGAAGACTGTGCTTGCTACTGAGTCGCTGGAAGGAGTCAACTCTGCCTGAACGCAGTTGAGGAAGAAGATCGCCCCAATAGAGAAGCCAAAGAGCAGCTGGAAGGCTTCCGACTGGTACATCCTTCTCATGAAGAGCCGAAACTTGGTGAAGCTCGAGAAGAGCGTGTCGTGCAATTTCATCTCATTCATCTGGTTCGACACCTTTTGATAGCACTCGAGCAGCTGTGCTTCCGTATGAAACCGAAGAGGAAAGCTCCTCCCCTGGTTCAACCCCTCATTGTCGGTGAATATGATCAGGGCAGGGAAGTTGGAGAAGTTTCCTTTCTCAGCATCCGCCTGCCTTCTCTTCAGCAGAGCAATCGAAGAAGTCGAGTGGCTCTTTAAATCCTCCATCTGCGTGATTTCTTGCAGAGAAATTTTGGTCACATTTCCGTCAGGTTCATCGTCGTCTACAAAGGCAAGGTACGAGCGAGTCAGCACTAAACTCTTGGTTTCCCATGGATCTTTTGTGACATCATGCGAAAGGAACAAAACTTTGCTATGGTACAGGACAGGCTCACCAAACCTGTCAGCCAGAGACTGAGACCCACTCCGTGTCCGCTCTTGAGAGCGATTCTGAACCTCAAAGCTCATTGTTACAACCTGCTGGTGACTTGCAGCGAGGATCAATGAGTTCCTTTCCTTCTACTTGCTACACATCTTGGAGATGAGAGGAGACAATCCTGTTTGAAAGTCCTCGTCCTTCAAAGACTTCGAATGTCTTGGGCACTTCGGGGGGAAAGCTCAAGCATTCAATTCAAACCTTGAAAAATTGCTCTATGGTCAGTCAGCCTGCAATGAATAAGTCACAAAAACCAATGAGAGATCATCATTCAGGGAATAGCAATCCTCTTAGCACAACACCATTACAAACATCTCAGCCCTTGCAGATGCACCTCAATGCGCCCGAACTGTTCTCCAGGGGACACTTCACCTCTGGTTTGGACTCATCCTAGTTCTGGACGTGATATTTCCACTATCTTCATCTGTTTGACCTCACTGTATCATCAGACCTTCATTCCTTTGATTCTCGTCGGTCTCATTCCAAACCTCCTACCTTATCCTTTCAACCTACACAAGGACATGGCGTTCTCGCCTGCGAGCACTTGTCCGCATTTGTTGATGGCGAGTCAGACTCTACATAACATCCTCAGTTCTTCCTTCCTTCAAGAATCATTCCCCACGTCCCTATCCCTTGCTGTTCCCCCCATGACCGCGCGCTATCTTCATCCCATGCTCTGTTCCTACCTCGCGCCCTCTCATTCTCTCATTTCCCCCACTGGACCTCGTCTCTGCTACCCCTGCTTTTCCCCATCCTAAGCAGGAGAAGGAGGGGGTAGGTTATTGATTATAGGAAGCAGGGGTGGGTCGCAAGGGGTAGCCAAGGGTCCTCAGATGGGGGGTAGTCAAATGACAGGCCTTGAAGGTACTGAAAGAGGCGAGGTAGCTCATCTGAATTCGTGGTGGGTGGTAACAGATTGGTTGAGGAGGGTGGGTGGTCCGCGATATTAGTGAGGCGACCCGACCTTGAAGGTACCTCGTGATGGGGTGGGTATCGGACATAAGGGATTATGGGGGGTGGGGTGATACACGATTTGGGTGGTAAGGGGTAATCGAAGCCCAAATGACCCAGGTTTTACCCATGAATTGCACTCTTCAGTACCGGTGTGTTTGTTAAAGGGGGGGTCCAGTCAATCTTCCAGGGGGTGACAAAAGCAATCTGGTCGCCGTCAAGATACTAAGGGGGGGGGGGGGGTAGGGGTAGTACAACTCTAGGGGCTCCAAGGCTCCCAGAGGTGCAGAATTTTCAACCCAGGTGACATACGACCATCAGATTCGACAGTGAGGCTTTCATATGTACAAATTATTGCTTCAAATTTCAAATACTAAATGAAATATTTCAAACATGCCCACGGAAATCTGATTCGGCGAAGGGGATCTGATTGGGGAATGAAAGTTAAATTTTTGGGTACTCCATCGAAATGTAGCTACCGTTATTTATCGGAAAATGGTAATAATTCAGTACTGTGGGTTTAAAATGTACCCCCTAGAAATCATTACGGACCAGTACAGAACTATTACTACCAGTGAACTTGTCGGTACTGCCAGTACCTGACTCCCGCATTCTGGTAGTACCTGAGGTACATTATTCCTTGTACCATACGTTAGTATGGTGATTCTACTGCAGATATCTCCGACCGGACTTGTGAGGTCTAAAAGTTCCGAAAGTCATGCGACCGCCGGGCTACCACGGTACCGTGACACTGAGTCAGCTCAGAGGCTTTACTCAAAGTTAAGTCAGAGGTGTAGTACGGTACTGACTCTGTGAGTTGAGTACTCATCAGTGACGCCAGCCTTACGGTCACCCGCGGCGCGGCCGGTCGGACGCCGAGCGGCGGCACAGGCTGCCCGGCGCTGCCGGACTGGCACCGTCACCGGGTAAGGCTCCGACTCGCCCGGGCCGCCGGCCGCCGGCCTGGCACTGCGGACTGCTGGCCACTTTGAGGCTTCAATACTCAAGTTATGTTTTAAGCTAAAATCATAAGATCAAAATCCGAGTACTACGGCGAGGAACTGTCAGTGAACTACTACTCAAAACTCCCGAGTCCGACGGTCGTACAGCCCGGCCTGGCCCAGCGGCACCGTCGGCTCGGGTGATGGAACGTATGCCAGCCGTGCCAGTCAGATAGCTAAACCAAGACGACTTACATGGCGAGGCGGCATGTCACCGTGCTGTGTAGTACGTGGGACCGTGACGAAGCCTTGAAGAGGGGGCTTTCCTAGCCGTCCGCCTTGCTAAGGTCCTCTCATGTCTGGGTGCTTGGGTTTCACATCCTAGCATACAGTCTATCTCTCATGTGCTCCTCAATTCTGGTTTGTGTGCATTAAACTCGGTCTTGAGCAAAAACTGTCTTGTTACAACTAAGGTCGATGCCACGGTGATATCTGCGTGACTTTGGACTAGTACAAGTCTAACAAACTTCAATGTATTCCGTCGGGCCAGCGTGACTCGCGGCGGCCTACTGCCCGCCGGGCCCGCACTGCACGCGGCACTGCACGACGGCGAGAACCGTTGAACCGTTCGGAAGAAAAAGACAGCGAGAACCAACACCCTGTTGCCAACTGCTGTCCCCCAAACTTAACTGATACCTTCACTTAACTGCGCGCAGGATTTCCCCATGCCAGCGATGTCGCTGTGGCCGCCGCCGAAGGAATGAGACGCATACCGGAACGCACCCGCGATAATGGCAGCGAAGGACAGGGATGCCTTGAGCTGACGAAAGATCCTGGACCGGATGCGTTTGCAAGACTAGTGACTCTCCAGCACCCCCGACGGTTCAGTGACAGCAGTGTCTTCGGGAGCCGCTGATGATCCGAGCCTCGGCGAGCGAGAGGGTTTTGCTCACAATACGGCAGATCAACGATGAGCTTGCCGGGTAGCCGCAAAGGAGGCGGAAGAGCAATGGTAGACGAGAGGAAGTTGAGAAGGAAGGTCAGACACGAGAAAGCTTGATGTTCCTCCCTTGTCCTTGTCATCGATGACGATCAGGATCGGCTACTACTGCTTGCTCGGCCTCTTGGTCCCTCTGGTGATTGACATCTCTGTATGCGCTGGCGCCTTCCAGGCTCCAGCTTCCCCTCTCGGTGCAAGAGCTAGAAGTTCACTGCCATCATCCTGCTGCAGTGCCAAGAGGCTGGAGGAAGGTCGGGAGGATCCCCACAGGATCTTCGTGGGGGGGACCTCGTACCAGGATAGGGCGTCGCTCCTCCGTGCATACTTCGAGCGAGCAGGAAGCATTCGTCAGGTCGAGCAATCTTCACGAGGATATGCCATCATCTCCTTCGAGGACGAGGCCTCTTGGTCTCGTGCTCTGTCCCTTCCCTGTGACGAGAGTCTGTTCAAGGAGATCCGGCCAGCAAGACCTCTCAGTCGAAAGCACACTGACGACAGGAAGGCGGAGACTGCAGAAGTAGAGGAGGGTTACGATGTTGCGTTGCTCGTGCCGTACACTCATTCTCATCGGGTTAGGGAAATGGTCTCTGAACTTCTTGGCTCCTCCCTCGACCACGCAAGCATCGTCCCAGCCTATGAAGAGCGGGTGAAGAGAGTCAACTTCGTCCTCCTCAGGCTCCATTTCCCAGCTTCAGCATCCTCTTGGAGCTTGCAGCACCGAACGGAGCAGAGTCGAAGGGCAGCAGATGTCATAGTTGAGAACGCAGCGATGCAGTCCGTGATTCATCGCGTCTTCATCCTGGACAGGGAGGTGGGGAAGGCTGTGGGAAGCCTGGAGGAAGGGCTCTTGTGTCTTAGCAGGCAGATCGCCTACTGGAACTGCTCTCGTCCTGAAGCAGGAGGAGAGGCTTCTTGCCAGAGCCTTGGAGGGTGTCACCGGCGATGCTGGTGGAGGGACCTGGCTCCTGTGTCAGTCCGAGTCTCGTCATCCCCTACCATCTCCACACAGCTCTGCGTAGAGTTCCTGGAGAGGAGGGGTGTGGCATGCTCTCCTCAGCACTACAACCTCATCGCATCCATCGTGCAGCTGCCGGGCAACAAGTTCTATACAGGAGTTGCCGAGAAGACAAGAGCAGTGGACCAGGTTCAGGTACCTCAGCTGTCTCCAGTCTCTCGCGCCTTCCTCAAGCTCGAGGAGGTGTTTGTTCGCTGGAATCAGCCTCTCCCTGCGAGCATCATGGCTCTCGATGCAGGAAGTGCCCCTGGAGGATGGAGCAAGTGGCTCGTGGAGCATAGAGCTAGGACGGTGATTGCGGTGGACCCAGCAGAAATGCTCTACAGGCCGGAGAACGAGCGAGGGGAGGGCGAAGACGGCGGAGAGAGCGTCTCTTTTAGGCATATGAAGATGACCTTGCAGGAGAGTATCCCAGTGCTGCAGCGGGAGGGATTCAGATTCAACTTGTTCGTGTCTGATATGTACTTGAGCCCGAAGATGTCCGCCGTCGATGTTTTCAACGAGGTGAATGACGATGATGATTGGGAGGAGGAAGATGAGGAGGACGTGAAGGAGATGCGTCAGACTGAGGTTGTCGTCTTGTAGGTCGCTGACTCTGGCCTTCTCCATGACGGTGCTGTTGTGGTTTTGTCGCTGAAGGGGAACGAAGTAAGTCAAACATGACCTTCGATTCATCTCCTCGTCCTCCCCTCGCCTCACATCTCCTGCTACACTCGATTTCTTCTCTCAGCCCATTTGACCTGCTCTGCAGGCCAAGGGACATTCATCAGCTCGCTTCGATGCTCTCATCTCAAAGCAGGTGGAAAAGTTCTCTGCAAGATGCTCCCACGTTAAGGTGATTTACCATCAATGAACGAGCTCAGCTGAGGCCCAGCTCAGGTTTACCATCTGCTCTCAAACAGGGTACGGGAGAGGACCATTGTAGGGTACTGGGTACATTGAAGGAAGTGCTCAAGACATACATTGCTGGAGAATGCGGGCAGCTAGTCTCTTACCCTCCGGTGATGCAAAGGAAGGAACTTTGATAGAAGAGACGTTGTGCTGGAGTTGAAGGGGTGCCATGTCAGGGCCATGAAGGGGAATCAAAACACATGAACACTGAGAACAAGGAAACGAGGAGCGAGAGATAGGAGAAAGCAGCATGCATGTTGAGAAGACATAAACATTGCAGAAATCAAATGAAAAGAAAGGCGTGCAGGATCGTAAGTGAGGAAAGACCAGGGGAAAGGAGATCAGGAAGGGAGAGGGCGGAGGGAGGTGGAGGGAGAGGAGGGAGGAGAGGAGGATCACATCAATCCTCGAGCTCGACGGGGTCAACGGTTCTTGGGCTTCAGTCTCCACAATCACAACTGGCTGTTGGGTCGTCACCGGAGGCTCGAGAGCATCGGAAGCTTCTTCTCACCTTGTCAAACACCAGCTGGGCAAACCAAACGCCTGCCTTGATGTCCACAGCCAGAGCTGGCCCTCCCTTCCCCAGCAGGACGCAGTTGGAGACTGTCCCGTCAGGCCTGAAGGTCACGTGCGCCAGCACACCCTGCAGAGGCTCGTCAGCTCCCGCGGTCGTGAGATTGTCGCTTCCTCTAGGACGAAGGAAGTGAGAGGCCGGGCGGTGAGGGAAGGGCCCTTGAAGCTTCCTCGCTTGAGTGAGACGATCTTGCGGGAGTACACGTCTCCGGGCCCGGTGAGGTTGAGAATGGAGTGTCCTGTCGGGCTGAAGGCAGCTGAAGAGATGAGCCCCTGGATCATCCTCCTACAGGAGCAAGGGCGATGAGAGGAGGGCAAGAGGAAGGCAAGCGAAGATGTGAGAGGACGAATCGAAGGAGGGTGAACAGGACTTACTTGCTGATGAACCTTGTGTCACTTGCCGGATTGATAGAGCTGAAGTCAGGCGATTCAAGATGGAGCTTTTCCATGCTCGCATCCTCCCTGTATGAGCCGCCAAAGTAGTAGGAGTAGGCTGAAGGCAACCAGACCTGGTGGGCGTTCAGCTGAGTTCAAGCTGCATGATGGCGATGCTACCATGACGATGTAGACCGCAATGAAGATCATCGCCGCCCTTCTGAGCTTCGGGTACCAGTTCGAGTAGCCGTCGTCCATGCCCAACATGAGCTGATACAGCAGCGTTACCAGGAAGACGGTTAATGCAGAGGATTTACCCTGTGATAGTTTGGCAGTGGTCTTCGCATATACCTTATTTGATCTCTGACTGCGGCTTCAAACCCAGCACTTGCATCTGCTCCTTCCAAAGACTTGAATGTCATTTCAATACTTTGCTACGCTTTCTTGTCATCGCTCTGTCCTTAGCAGGACCTCTCTCTGGCATTCTTCAATCATATTATCCTTCTAACAAGCACATGTGCCGGGACGATAAGACAAAGAATGATGTTGAGATCTTTGTTTGTTTTAATCCTCTCTGATCTTGGAAGTGTGATCTTCTCTACCTTGGTGTCTCCTCCTTCTCTCTTCTCCGCCCTGACCTCTCGTCCTCCTCCCTCCTTCAACTCGTCCTCCTCTCGTCCTCCTCCCTCCTTCAACTCGTCCTCCTCTCGTCCTCCTCCCTCCTTCAACTCGTCCTCCTCTCGTCCTCCTCCCTCCTTCAACTCGTCCTCCTCTCGTCCTCCTCCCTCCTTCAACTCGTCCTCCTCTCGTCCTCCTCCCTCCTTCAACTCGTCCTCCTCTCGTCCTCCTCCCTCCTTCAACTCGTCCTCCTCTCGTCCTCCTCCCTCCTTCAACTCGTCCTCCTCTCGTCCTCCTCCCTCCTTCAACTCGTCCTCCTCTCGTCCTCCTCCCTCCTTCAACTCGTCCTCCTCTCGTCCTCCTCCCTCCTTCAACTCGTCCTCCTCTCTTCTCCCCCCCCCTTCTCCCTCCTCAGCTTCTCCCTTCCCTCTCCCCTCGCATAGGCCCCTCAGGCAACCACATCCCCGTCATTTCCCGGGCCCCGGCGATTCCGGCTCCCGGGAATTTCAGTGATGTCAGCACAAATCTATCAGTCCTCGGGTTTGTTTGTCGGCAGCTACAATGCAGGCAGGGATTGGAGGAGGGAGGGAGAGAGGGAGGAGGGGGAGGAGGAGACAACAGGGATGTTGAGAAGGAGATGGTTGGTTCAGCCCTAAGAGGAAATGAGATGTAGCAGGAGAGTCAGGAGGAGAGGATGCGGGTATGGAGATGACAGGATAGCAGTCGGCGTGAAATGGGTAATGCAATGAAGCTGAATTGCTTCCAATGGCCGCATGAGCTTCTTGTGAATCTTGTTTGTCTGCAGGATATCTTGGAGAGTCTGATGTGAGACTGCAAGCCATCAGTGGAATCCAGCACCTTCCCTAATGGAGGCAGAGCACAGCTCTGCTCGCCAAGGTCTGACGAGGCTGTGGAATGTTGTCTGCCGAGTTTTGAGGGAGGGGAACCTTCTCGACAACATCTTCGGCTCATGTACACGATGTCTTCCTGTCAGAGGCGATCGACAGTTGAGCACAGTCAGCTCGGAGTCGAACTATTCAGCCATCCCAAGTCAAACAGAGAGAAATTTGTTGGCGGCGGAGGCTGCGCAACAAGGTGGAGATATCTCAGTCCCTCCTCAGCTGCACAAGTACTTTGAGGGGGAGCGCGAGGGTTCGAACAATGATCAAGATCCCTTCGAAGAAGCAGGGCAGCAGTGCAACATTTGTGCAGGAGAAACGAAGTTCAACACTCACTTTTCTGTTTCCTGCCGGTGAAGTAGTTAGAATTATGCGAGGAGGCCGCGCTGACAAGCGATGCAGCCATTCAGCATGCCGAGATTGCTGGGAAACGTGGCTGAAAGAACACACCACGTGCATGGTCTGCTGTGAGAAAGTGCAAAAGATTCAAAGGTTGGTTGTGTTGTTTCGCTATATTGGTTCTGAAGCCATCAAACAAGATTTTCTAATGATTTAGTCCCTTCTGAGAAAGACCACAGCAATGAGCACATTCAAGGCGACAACGGATGTTCAGATGACATAAACTACAGGCTGGAACAAGTCAGCAATGCCTTCATGCGATCGCTGGTTGATGTGAAATCAAGATTCAATGATGTGACAAGAGATATTGGAGTTTCATTTCAGTCGTGACCGTCGTGCTCGCAGGTCCGGGAGCGTTTGGACGAAATCAAGGCACACCTCAACAGGAAGAACATGTCTTTCATGCACGGCGATGCCCGTCTGTCAGTCACGTCTGTTGAGGCTTCGTCTTTGTTAGAGCAGCTCCATGTTAGTTCCTCTAGCTTGACAAACCTCCTCCTTGTGATTCGACTCAGGTTCTAGAAGCGATCATGCAAGCCCCTCCCGGCAGCCGACCTCAAACTGCGTCTCCCGTCTGCCTGCTGGACGAAACTGCTCGACTTGGTAACTCCATAGCCACTTCAGAAGACTGCACTTAGTTTCAACAGGCGACATGGTGAAGGATTTCAATGTTTACTTGGACAGATGCGTGCAAGAGCAAGAAAACCAGGAGCAGCTTTCCGTCGACTCGAAGCAGAAGCCACAGATTGCAATGAAACTTCTCTCTTCCTGCTCGCCCCCTGTTGTTTTGAGCCAATGGAGGTTCGAGGTTTGGTTGTGGGCGTGTTTGATAATCTCCTCCCCAGAGCGATACTGCGGGTCCTGGACGAAATTTTCGAAGAAACCCTCCCTCAGATCTTGGAGGATCTTAACTTGTTAGGCGTGATAATGGCCTTGTATCTCCATCGCTGAAAGCCACGTCAGGTATGGACACCGTGAGGCAGGAATGTGGATGTTCGCTCAACGAATGGAACAAAAATCGAATGAGTTCAGGATGGATGTCGAAGAAGACTTTCAGGTAACAATGGGCATTGTGCCGATGCAGCTCATGTCATCCTCTTTCAGGTGATCCTCCCAGAGATCGAGTTTGTCATCGTCCGGATTCAATCATGCTTCGATTATGCCGATCCTTCGCACAAAGATTCATCTGCTCGTAAACCTGACGAATCCTAGCAACTAGCAGATGTACCTAGTGCACTCTCTGATCCCGATTAGAAGTGATTCCTGTTATTTACTGTGTAAAGATGCTTGATCACTGTACTTGTGCCATCACTCCCCTGCAACAAGTTCGAATGAATGAGCTTCGACCTTCTCCTTCAAACAGGAGTTGACGTTATCTTGACATAATGCTGTCGGACCTACGGGTGAATGAAGAGCCCCCTGCTTGGTTCCTCCCCGGTTGACTTGTCTGCTTGCCCTGGCTTGGAGAAGGCTTGGATGGCTGCATGACTTTCCCGCTCTTAGACTGCGACGTCTCCTTGTCGATCTCTCGGTCTACCAGCAGGTCCCAACGGTCCTGCCTTCTGAACTCTCGCCATGCCCACAAGCAGCCGAAGCAGATGAAGCCTGCTACCGTGCATGCAAGGATGGTCAGCAGGATGGCAAGGGCCACGAGAAGCCACTGGCCGAAGATGTCGAGGTCAGAGAGGTTACAGTCGCTTCCCTTGCATGCATTGCTGTCTCCCGGTAGGTTGGGAACGAACGACCTCGCGGCCAGCCTTGAACTGCTGCTCTTCAAGAGGTTTCCACCTCTGCTCGCGAGCTGAGAGCCTTTAGCTGAGACCATTCGTCTTCCCACAAGTTTCTCTCGAGGCGCGCGAGCTCTTGTCTGGTTGTTTCGGATGACAATGCTAATGGTGCCTGCGGGGGCCTCCTTGAAAATGTTCATGACGCGGTGCTGCGCGTCGAGCACGGCCTGAGACCTTGTGTTCTGCTCGTTGAAGTGAACAGTCTGATTGATGATCTCCGCCATCCTCCCATCCTCAGACTCAGCAGTCGCGGGAGCAATCTCAGTCTCTCTTCGCCACGGCCTGCCGAACAACCAGCTGAAAGTGTCAGGGTTCACAATCGCCGCCCTCCCACTGCTGTCAGACATGTTGGCGGTTGCCTTCACGGCATGCGTCAGACTAGATCTCTGGACCTTATTCTCCGTCTCATTGATCCAAGAACCACGTTCGAACAACAAGTGCACAATGTTCTTGCCATAGGGTCGTGGGATGCCGCCAGGATGGGAGGAAGTGTGATTATGACGAGCTGCCAGTCTCTGCTGGGGCGAGAGCTTGTTCCACTCCTGCTGGAGGATTCGAACATCCAGCGAGTTGAGCTGCTGATACAAGTGCTCAATGGATCTCTTCGCTGCCGCTATGGCCCTTGCACTCTCCCCGTTCTCCACCAGGCTAGCGAACTTCTTTGAAAGCTCCGTCCTCCCAGGTGCTGAGGAGACAGGCGTCTTGCTGCTGCTACGTCGTTGAGCAAGGGTCAATGTTTCACTCGGTCTTGCCCTGCTAGTGATCTCGGAGCTCGCCCGGACCCCGTTAGCAGCAAGGGACTCTTTGCCGCCTTGAGCCTCATCTCCATCCCCAAGAATGTAAGTGAGCAGCCTTTGAGACAGGTGCGGGTCTTTCAGCGGCTTGCTCCTCCCCCTTCGTGCTCGACGATTAGGATCCAGCAACAACCAGGATAAGACATGAACTTGGGAAGCAGACCGGAGGCGCTTTGAAGGAAAGTTGGCAAGAGAACGCGCAGAGTTGGGCGATTGAGGGAACGAGGAACGTCGAGAAGAAAGCAGGTAATCGATCGGAGACTGCAACAGTGTTTCCTCTCGCCTCTCCTCTGCTCTTGCTCCTCCTTCCTGTCCTATCAGACCCACCGCAGCGCTGCAGGCAAGCAGGAAAGCTGCTAGAACTGGCAAAATCCATCGACGACACGCAAGATGACGAGGACCTCCACTTCTCTCTCCCTCCTCTTGACCTCTCATATATTCCCGTCCTCCTCCTCCTCCTCTTCCTCCTCCCTCCATGCCTTCACACCCCCCTGCTCATGAAGACTCCGCCATGGCGCACCTGGCCCTATTTCCGGTGCGCAGAATGGCTACCTATGCTGTCAGGTGTCGCCTCGTGGACAGATTTTAAAAATGGCATTTTAATATAAAAATGCCATTTTTAATTCGCTGCCTTGCCAACATCTCATGCTCGCTATGATCCGGCATGGAGGGGTCGGGGCGATGAAGTCGGCGGGGATGAAGATGATGGGGAACATGGCGATGAGACGTTCTCTTCACTCTTGCCCTCGTCTTCTCGCTCCTTCTCTCTCCTCCTCTTCTTCGCCCTTGCTTCTCAAACGTCTCGAGCTCAGTCCTCCAGCACCCTGGCGAAGGGATGCCGTGAGGCGCTTCTCTCGCAGCTCTGTTGACATCGTTCAATCATCTCGACGGGCTCTCAATGACATTGTCAAGCTTGACATGATGATGGTGCGCCTTGCTCATTGTCGCTAGAACGCTGAAACCGTTCCACCTAGCAAGAGAACTCTGGGCGGATCATCGAAGTTTGGATGCAATATCACTCGACAAAGAAGGATGCAGCAGCCTCAGTATTGAGCCGGTGTTTCTCTTTTCTCAAAACCTGTCATGCTCCTCGCTTCTTCCGCCCCCTTCTCTGCCCTCTCTTCAACATCGTGCCCCCCTTGGATTTCGATCGACGCATCAAGCTTCGTGCTGAACTATGACTGAAACAGCCCGGAATACGACACTTTGACGTTCCGCATCAAGAAATGGTCAGGGAACAAACAATCTGACAGGGACTGACATTTCTGACTCCCAGCCCGATTGTCATCCTGCCCGTCCACAGGCCCGAGGGGTACCAGGCCTTCCTCGTCAAGTTCGACGAGCTGAGGTCTGCCAGCAGGGGAGGAGAGGAAATGAAGTGAAGCATGCTCCAGGGCCTTCGTGACAACTCTTGAGGAGTACAAGGAGAAGGGAGAGAATGCTGAGCCTGTGCTGGCATGGAGCCTCCACCCAGACATGCTTGAGGTCTGATTTCATACTGAGAGGAGCGGACTGAGGAGGGATGTAGGAGAAGGGCATGGCATTGGCCAGAGCTGATTTTGTGGCGTCATGTCTGACCAAGGATGAAGCGAACAAACTGATAGCTGACTTGACTTACTGCTATGTTGACAGCAAGATGTTCAAAGTAGGTGGGTTGCTACGGGCTGGCAATTGCTGACATATGATGTGCAGGAAGTCATGAAACTAAATCAGAATCCGACAGAATTTGACTGGTAAGCTCTGGCGTGCGAAGTTGCGGTAGATGACATGAGATTCATCAGGAATGATTTTGTGCAAAAACTAGGCCAGAGGCACACGCCATAGATCGCTATACCTTGATCAACCAACAAAAAATCGCATCTACAGTTTCGTGCCTGCGGGGCCCTAGACTTGAAGAGCTCAAAGGCTTCACTAGTCCTCATCACGGTACTGATCTTCCTTGGAGCACGTGAACCACATGGCCAGCACGTAGCGTGTTCCTCGGGTGACTTCACGCACCTGGTGGCTGTTGCATGTGTCAAACGATGGGGAGGGGCAAGTGGGACATAAGGGGAGGGAGCAGGAGCAGGAGCAGGAGCAGGAGCAGGAGCAGGAGCAGGAGCAGGAGCAGGAGCAGGAGCAGGACTTGGGGCAAGGGCAGGGAGGAGCAGGAACAGCAGGAGCGGAAGAGGGAACAGTAATTACAGGTTTTCTGGTCCGGAAGTGAAGATAAGAAGTCTTCCCGCTGCAGGCGAGTCAGCATTCGTTAGTTTGGTTCAAGATTACCTCGAGGCTGTACGATCCGATCAGCGTCATCGTCGATGAAGGAGAACCTGTCAAGGCGTTACCGCAACAACGTCAGGAGAGGGCACCACGCACTCTCCGCCATGGAAGTCCTTGCCATGCGTGTTCAGGTAGAGTCTGTGAGATAGGTCAGCACCGGGAAGAGGAGGAGGCAATAAGAAGGGAGGATGGCAAAGAGAGGGGGAACGTGAGAAGATGGGAGAGAAAGAGGGAGAGAGGGAGAGAGCATAAGTGGAGGAGCGCTGAACAGAGCAAGGGGGGAATACAAAGCAGAGTAGTCGTAGGTGGGTATGTTGGCTTTGTCCACGTGCGGGTTCCAGTAGACATGGCCGGGCTCGACATCCCACTCGTCCCGCGGAGGATCGCCCTTGAGCCTGGTGAGCAGGGCACCGCTGTCGTAGATCACCTCCAGCCCGAACTCGCGCATGATCCGCAGCTTCACCTTCGCAAGGAAGTACTGAACCAGCAGTCCTCCCTTCACCCCCAGCCGCTCCAGGGAAGACACAGGAGCCAGGCTTGTCGATCCTCCCTGATGGAACAGGTTCACCATGGCTGCCTCTGTTGCTATCGCGAGGTCCCTCATCTCGTCCGGCTCCCCGAACTCATCCACCACGATCCGGCTGCAGACGCCCTGCCGGGCAGTGGAGGGGGTGCACCCTTGTACTATCCCATAGGCGTCTTGATAGAATTTCAGCGCACAGGGGACGTCCCAGGAGATGCTGCTGGATGTGACTATGTCTGTGGCGCTGAGCAGCCGAACCTGCGCCTTCCCGTCTCTGTATGCTGTTCGTATCCTGTCAGCCTGAACACGCTGGTACTTGTCCCTGGTCCGGAGGCTCTCGGGATCCGACGAGTCTTTCCTGAACCTGCTGCTCTTTTGCTGCTGCGAGCTCTTCTGCGAGAGCTCTGTCGCTGCCTTCTCCTTCCCTCCTCTCCTCGCCCCTTCCCTCGCTGTCGTCCTCCTCCCGTGCGCCTGCAGCAGGTCGCTCCACGCGCCCCACGAGCTCTCTCTCCGGACCTGCGGCTGGCCGCGGGTTCTTCGGAGCACATCCAGGAGCAGCTCAAGGTCCACGTCCTCATCATCTTCCATGCCTTGAGCCGCTGCGCTCAGGAGGAAGCAGGACAGGGCCAGTGCGGCCAATACCAACGATACACCCCTAGCCGCCATGTTGTCGCACTGCTGTTTGAAGCACGTACAGACTCAGCCTCTTCCTCTGCTTTTCTTCTTGGTGCTGCTGATTCGATGAGAACTACCGAGCTAGATCAGCTCTCCTCCTCTCTGCTCCTCCTCGCTCCTCCTCCTCCCCCCCTGCCGCGCCTTCAGCATGGTACACGTCCGCCCTGTTATTATATGCTTAGATTTTTTATACGGGATAAGAGGCCGTGGTCTCTACCACCCCCTATTTTCATAGTCAACTACCCCCATCTATACACCACCCTACCACATAGTTCAAGGAGCGCAGCGGATCATGAAGGCGGCCAAGGTCAGCGACTATGCACACTGCATCAGTCTTCTTCTTCTTCTTCTCCTCCTCCTCCTCCTCCTCCTCCTCCTCCTCCTCGCTCTTGCCCTCATCTTCCTTCTTGCATGCTCTTCCGACGTTCTCCCCTCGCTTCTTCCTCCACTTCACCCCTTCTATCCCAACAGTCCATTTGTCCTCCTACGTCCATACATTCGCCGTCGTACTCCCGTCTTGCTGCTTCCTGTCGTCCGTCACTCGACCTTATCACCGTTACTCCTGTATGCAGCCAAGACGTCTTTCTCAGTCATCCTCCTCCTACTCTACATTCTACGTGGCACTTGCCAGGCTGACATGATGATGTTGTGGTCATGTAGAAATTCTTCTTCCTACTTTCCCTCGTGGGATCGGCATCTGCCTTCATGCCGACCTTTGTGCATGGACTGACATCAGAGAGGTGAAGTCTCCTCTTCCTCTCTCCTCTAGACATTGTCATGACCGCTGCTCTCCTTTGCTCAGAATCTCGTGTGCTTCGAGGTTTGCTCCATCTGTGCAGAAGGTTGGAGAAGCGATCATTGTTCCGTCTCATGCGTCATTGTGATGAAGAGACGAGAGAGACTAATACATCTCATCACAGCTCAGAGGAGGTTGCAAGGGCAACGTGATGCCGCAAAGGCTGAGGTGGAGGAGGAACATTGATGTAACGCTATGGCGATGACAGTCCTTGGTATGGCAGGGCACAGATGAAGGATGGCATGCCGCCGGAGGACAACTCAAGGTGCTGTTCTCAGCTATGATGCAGCCTTGCGGCGACGCTGACGGTTGGTTGATGAAGAAACTCCTTGACTAGGGAGAACGATCAGTTCCAGATGTTCAAGAGGTTCAAGACCATGGTGAAAGCTGGGGGGAAGGAGGGGTGGAGAGCTCAAGTACCGCAGGCTCTCCTCGCCGTCGTCTCTCTCCTGATCGCCAACTCTCCAGTGCCCTCAATGGCAGCGGAAGCGGTGCGTCCGGGGAGAAGGAGGGGAGGGAGGCTGTCTGACGTGTCTGCTCCAGCTCTCGCCAGCTGGGGTGTCAGCTTTGCAGGGGAAGCTGTTGGGGTGAGGAGGAGGAGAGGGAGAGGAAGGAGCTGATGCAGGTAGCAGCGTCCTGCCGAGTGGGTTTGCCG